CCCCCCCTTTGTTTTGTTTTAAAGTTGGTAAAGCGCTTCGAAGTGAGGCCAGACCCTGCCGGACAGACAGTGACACCCATCACCAGAACCCTGCTCTGCCCGGCTAAACCCATCAACCTGCAGTTTCTGGACAGGAGACGCTAGAGGGAGGAGGCGAGCCAGCGGCAGCAGCGGGAGGAGTTCCTCTGTGAGCTGGTTTAGTATTCACTTGGTGTTTCCTTCTTGTCACCAGACACCACAGCTCAGATAAAGAGAACTGGCTGCATGGAATTCACCAAAACTGTGTCTATAAGATTATAATGCAGTGTGTATAGACATTTTAAAGTTTTATCCATGTAAATATGAAATCTTCAACCAACAAAAACTAGTACGAGTGCAAAGAGTTTTCTCCGTTTTTGTTTTTATCAAATTCTTCAGCTGTTGCCTGGCAGAAGGAAGAATGTGATGTGACCTCTGTTCTTACTTTATATTTTAATGATCGTCAACAAACCCCGTTAGAAACTTTCGATAGTTTCCAACTATCAGATCAACTTTCATGGTGAACTGGAGTTGAAGAGTTCTTCCCTGCGGAGGGAAACAGTGGGAATGAGATGGGACGACATGAACATGTTGATGTAACAGAGATAAATATTTAAATGACAAATTATGAGTAACTGTATTTTGTTACAATTTCAGTGGGTGGGAATGTAAATACTTTACATTCATCAAGAGATTACATAAATACTTTTTACTTTTATAAAGGTTCAAAGAATTAAAGTTGAATGTCAAACATGCACCCACTTAATTTGCCAAATCATTAGCACGATGAGCTTGTTAGCTTTGTCAGCACTGTAGCCAGCGTGCTACACATCAAACTGACCACATGATGGAGTTAATTTACCACATGCGTGATGTGTATTATTATATTTGCCCAATCATTTCTATTGAATACTATAAATACCTACCTAAGTGTCTGGGAACATCTAAACAGCTGTCTTAGCCTACGCTGTCTACGAACTCCAGATTTTTATTTATATCTTTTCAATGATGTTTGTGGAAAAACAGAGAAAGTAAAAACTTTTTTTATTTCGTTTAAGGCAACAAAGTGAAAACAAAAAGAATATTCACTTATTTTTTATTTTCATCTGGTTGCTTGTTTTCAACTCTTTCACAAATGCTGTGAAAAATAAAAGATAAAAAAAACAACAACATCTTGATAATTTTTTTCCAGAACTAAACTTCATCAGAGTGACTCTTCATCCACCCTGTACAATTATATAATACTGATATAGTTAAAGTAATGAAGTATATAGAAGTATCACGTCATCCAGCTCAACATTGTGACTTTTATTACAACTATGGAATTCAATGGGAGAAACAAAAAACATCGTTGGTTTCACAGACAATATTTGTTGGAACTGGTCACAGACGTTATTGTCAGTTGTCTGAACAGCAGTTGACCAATGCTGCTCCCCTGTGGACTGTTATGACACTACATACCTTATCAATGTTAGACAGACAGTAAAAGTGTCGGATTCCCTTTACAGATAACAGAACAGTTGCTCTAATGCTCAGTGGTTATAACTCCGTTGTGTTTTTTTCCTTTTTTCTTTATTTTATTTTAGGCTGCAAAGTTAGAAAAAGGCTTTTTCCAAAGAAACTTTGAACCATGACGTGAAAGTTTCAAACTACTTTGTGCAATTTATATTTCTGCCTCTGAGCATATTTTCAATATTTCTGAGACCAGCGTTACATTTGCTCTTCAGTCATCAGCCGTGTGCGTTTATTATTCACGTAAGATTAAAAAGTGTCTTGGGTTTTTCTGCCATTTCATCACAATTACATTTAAGAGGAAGTTGACGAGGAATCAGTCTGAGTGAGAGTCGTGACAGGAAACGTTTGGGAAGCGACACCCTACAAACTATTATTAATGTGCTATCAATGTGAGATTGAACTCTTGACCCGGAAAGTCCGGACTGAAAACTGGGTCTGGTAACACACGTTTTCCAAGAATTGATGAAGATGTTCGTTAAGTTATAATCAAGTGAAGCTTTTGAAGGATGATCAGGTTTTATTTAGTCTACATGTTTTTTTTTTTTAATCTTTAACTTCAGTTGGTGTCGGTATTCTGAAATACAGTGAGTCTGCTGGATAGAACAGATCTGAGACAGCAGAGACACACAGAGTGAAGGACGGGGGAG